TGCAAAATATCACCAAAGCTGTAATTCCTAGGATTTCTTTACCACCAGGGAAGCAGTATTGCAGACAATTTACTGTCAAGCTGACTCAGTGCTCCCAAATGAAACAGCATAAAATTTTAAGTACAGCTCATCCATGCTCAGGTATATATATAAATATATTCAAACAGAATAAAGCACACCTTCTACTTTCAATCTTGCTATCGTCTTGCATTTTCTCCAGTCATTACTGGTTTTCAAAACTCTGATAAATTGTAGAGCTATGTCCTTGGCACCTGCCCAAATACTTCAGAAGGTACAACACTTTCTAAAGGAAGAAAGAAAAAAAAAAGTGACCTGCCTAATTCACTGACAAAAATAATGTCCGCTATTTGTAGAAAAATATACTCACTTGAGTATACAACAAATTATGCATAATTTATAAGGTTACTACACAACAAAATAAACTACCAAATAACCTATCTTTGTTGCTACAATAAATTTGTGATGCTTGGCAGGCAAAAAAAAAAAAAAGAGTAGTCATTAAGGTGCTTATATTCTATAAAATGGCAATTACAAGATCATCAATATCAAATCATCAGTGAGATTAAGTAGGTGATATCTTGCCCAAATAGGTAACCAGTTTAAAAAAAAATTCAAAATTCTATCTTTTTATCTAACACATGCAATTCTTTCAGCATAAATACTTTCAAGACAGAAGAAAGACTACTTTATTCTAGTGCCATCTTCCAAGATTGAAATTACTTCAAACTAGTAGACAACCTTGAAGACAGCAAGGTTACCCACAGTCAAGTATAATCATTTTAACTACTGTTTTTAGGACTTTATGGAATAATAAGCTTTTAGCATGAGCTAATAATCTCACTTGGAATAAAAAATAAAATGTGCTTTGAAGTAACTGACTATGTAAAAAATGAAATGTTTTACAAGATGGACTCATCAACAAAAGCACTATTTCACACTCATCAAATTGTCAGCATTTAAACAGAACTAAAATTAAATCTCTTCCAAAATAAAAATTGTTCCAATTTAGGGCTGAAAACTGAAACAAGGACACAATAAGAATAAAATTAAAGTTTTTATTCTGTCATAGTTCTTTTGAGTTTTATGAGTCACTGAGTAATACATAGGTCAACTGCTTGATCTTATTAAGTGAGAAGTGATTCCTGAACTAATTTAAATGACCTATTAGGTCTGTTCTCTCTAGGACAAATCAATTCCATTCAGTCATGTAAATCTGGGTAATTTGTAACTCACTTCTGGAAATGTTACACTCCTGTAATTAGGACACCATTTTGCATTCCAGTGATGTCATAAAATTTCTAAATAGTACTCAAGCAGCCTGAGGGAGTTAACATTATTTAACAGACTCAGAGTACTTACTATATGCCCAGCATTGTCCTAAGTGCTTTACAAACATTAACTCCCTATACAGTATTTTCAGTATATTTAGTAACTAAGTTCTTATGAGGCTTAATGATGATGTGAACTGGTATTTAACAATGAGTAAAAGTAAACAATCATATTCATTGACTCATTGAAATTAAGAGTATTCATTTCTAACAAGCAGGACCATCCCACTGTAGCATGAATCTAACCAATTAATGCTCCTTACTGAAATCCTTGGACAGCCTACTGGATTAAGTCCACATTCCTCAGTAAATCAGGAAAGTGCTACAGCATCAATTCCCTGCTTTCTTCTTTTGTCTCTTTGGTCCCTTGACTATCTGTAGTTCACAAAGACAAGTGAGACTTCACATTCCTATGTCCTTGCTCTCCCTTCAGTTGGCTGTGCCCATTCCCTCCCTTTAAAATAGCCAATTACTAATTCCCTCTCAAAACACAACTAAGACAGTGCGTCATCCAAAAAGCCCACCCTGACTGCTTACTTAGGTTAGTGCTGGGACTTCTCTGTTTTCACAGCCATCTTTGATCACTTCCAGAAAACCATGGGGAAGGGCAAAAGGAATTGCTTATTCATTCATTCATCTTCCCACTAGTCTGTGAACACCTTAAAGGCTAGAACTGTGTCTTTTATCTGTAAAGTCCTAGGGCCTTGCACAAAAATTGCTGCAAAGCAGGAACCCATGTAAATAAATGTCTTTTAAATAAACGAATTGAAAAATCTATATATAAACGTTGTGAGCTCACAAAAAAGTCATCCTGATTTTATTTCTGCAACACACACACATAAAAAATTGCTAAAAATATCTGTGGATACCTAAAGATATCTATTTAATTACCAAAGAAATAGCAAGAGCCATATAAAACCAACTTATTTTTTCAGGTCCAATGACAACTCTTAGAAAACTAGAAATGCCAGAAGTGCAAGAAAACTTCTTAGTTTCCTAATTGTAGTAAAAGTTGGCCTATGTCAAATAGGTCTTTGCAATCCTAACTGCCAGATGCAGTCCTAGTTGGCCATGATTTCAGCAGTAGTTTAAGGAACATGATGAACTGCAATGGATCCCCAAGTGATGCAGACATCAAGATACACTGTGTGAGGGCTGGAGTTGTAGCTCGGTGGTAGAGCACTTGCCTAGCACTGTGTGAGGCACTGGGTTTGATCCTCAGCATGACATAAAAACAAAACAAAATACAGGTATTGTGTTCAACTACAATTAAAAATATTTTTTAAGAAAAAATATATTGTGTGGCCTATATGCCAAGCACTGGGACAATTTCTTATAATAATTAATTTTAATAATTTCTTTGATGACAATACAAACTTTCACTTCTAACTTGAATTAATAATGTAGTCATGGTGCTTAACCTAAATTTACCAATTTATTCACACCTCACCAAAAGTCAAGAGTCATTCTTCTCAATTGTGAGATTTATTGCTTTAAAAAGTAAAATCTGCAGGGGCCCAAGGTATTTTCTGACCAATGTGGACAGGTCTATGAATCAAAAAACTGCAGAAGTAGTTCCCTATAAATGGTGAGAAAAGGACTGGCTTGTTTTTCAAAATGTTGGTCTTTCACCAACACACAGTATGTCAGAAGTTACTGAAGACAGCATTACCAGCATTGAGGCAGAGACTCAGAGCCAGGTTCAATCCAGTGGTTTTTCTGTATCTCTACTTCCTTCTGTACTTCCTCTCCCAGAAAGTCTCTGTGATTTGTTCTAAAACACAGTTGTATCTCAGCAAAATTCAGACTGTAGGAAACTACATGATGAAAGACTTCAAGTCTTTAAATAAATAACATAAAGAAACAACAACAAAGAAATGGAGAGAGGAAATCATACATTAAAAGAAGCCTAAAAAAATAAATCAATCATGGTCTCTAGGCATTAATTGGATCCTTGTTCAAATAGACAAATGTGATATATAT